ATTTTTGAATGAGAAGAACTTGTCCGGAGTTACTGCACGCTTTGAAAATTCATTCCTCCTCTCCTAATAAAGATTAAGCAATGAAACCGCTGTAATTTATTGTGAATATAATTCTCCATCGATAGATATTGCTTTCATTCTTTCATCGTAATTAGGGGGGGAGAAATGAATTTCCCTATCGGAGGAGCCCCTCCGGTTAGTCCGCACTTTTGAAAATTCATTCCTCCGCTCCTACTTGAGTAGGATAGAATAGAATTTCCCGAAGATTCCAAAAAGCTTCATTGTTCTTCGTGCATGAAAAATGGGGATCTTCGGGAAACTCCTTGCGATCACAAGACTTTTACCGATTTATTTTTCTCCGTGTGACGTCCGTATAGAAGATCAAAAAATCAATTTAACTTTGGGATAAATGGAGAGGAGAGAAAAACGTGAATATCTCGGAAATTAGATGCGACAAAGTGTGCCCTCTTCACGTGGACGTACACATATAATTGGACTGAAATTTATAGAAATTTTTAATTTGCAATGACGAAATTCCTTGAAATTTCCGTATTACGGCAACGCTATAAAAATTCCCAATAAGTGTTCCCGGAATTTCCGCGAAAATATCACTGAAACCTACAGACATCATTCCTGAATTCAAGACATTCCTTTGATTTTCAGGATCATGTCACTAGAAATTTTTTACAAAATGACTTAATTTTAACATTGCTTGCTCATTGCATTTCAGAAATGCAGCTGCCTAAAAAAGACACATCGATTCCTAGGAACAACGTTTTTTTTTCTCAGTAAATACAGACAATAGAGAAATGTCAGAGTACAGTGAATAAACTTCACTCGTCAAAAACTCCATAATGGCAGAGTTAAATTCCCTGATTTTTTTTCACTCTCGATTAATTTTTTAAAGATTCAAATTGATACTTAAGTATCAATTGATTCATTCACATCGTTCCATTCCATCGGGAGATATTGTCGATTGGAGACAATTTTTTATGGTCACTGAAGAATGCAAACCATTCATTTAAATCTCGCAATAATCTGCGAAAAGTCTCATTCGTTAATCTATTATTATTGATTTAATCCCATTATGTGTATGAGATTTGTTGAGATATAATCTCTCACAAATATTGAATATATTTCTCATCAAAATAATTTGAAATTCATTCATTACCTTTGTATCACTGACAAAATATGTAATAAATGTGAATAAGATGAATTGCTCGTATTTTTTTTTTTTATTAAAGATCTAGTTGTATAGAAATTCAAATAAATGATCCTCTTTCGCTCAAGACTTCATAATTCCTTCTCTCCCTCTCCTTTATGATCAACTAATTTACAAATTAAGACAATAAGAAGTTGTATGAACGAAAATGGGATAATCAAGCGGATGAGTGAATGCAAAGGAGGTTTCATGTTGGATTTAAGATTGGGAACGCATCCCTGTTATCGACTGTTTCCATGGTAATAGATGAAAATTTCTTTACCCACAGAGACGGCCTCTCGATTAGTTCATGCGCGCCACCGCTATTTTACTCTGATCGAACAGGTCCCATAAGCCTGAGCAATCTTTCCTATTATCTCTGTTACAAGTAATTCTCATTCTCCGTTTTAAACCTATCAGCGCCATCTCCCATGTATATCATCAACTGACTTCGTCGATAGGGAAGACTAAGTTGACAATATCACTACGTTTCACCCTCTTGTATTTACGTGTGTGTTCAGTTGCCGAAGTTACCAGATCTGTGGTCAGTTGCGGATATGTTCAGTTGACTGTGTCCAGTTNGGCGTTTCTCGCGCGTTTTTAGTCTAACCGTCCGTTGTCGATATATCACATTTTTCCTTTTCTGTCTAAACTAGTTGTTGAATTCTCTCAAGTATTGATTCTCGCATCATTAAAAATGCCAGGCAGCACGTGCGTTTTCAAGTTTGCTAAGCTCTCCGAGAAGGCCTTCGCACCGGTCAAAGGGTCTGTCCAGGCCGCTGGGTACGACCTCAGGAGGTGAGCAACACGAAGATAATATAATATTCTGTGTACATTTCTTTTCATCAAATTTACTTTTGCCATTTCTTCTTGATTCTAGTGCTTATGAATACGTCATCCCTGCCAGAGGGAAGGAACTCGTCAAGACTGATCTCCAGATTGAAGTTCCTGAAGGAACTTATGGAAGAGTAGCTCCTCGTTCAGGACTGGCTTGGAAGAATCACCTTGATGTCGGCGCTGGTGTCATTGATGCTGATTACAGGTAAGGCTGGATAGATGTTTACCAATCAGAAGGTGACTTTATCGATCGATCTCAGTCGAGGCTCATGACAAAAGGAGAAAAATCATACTTTTCATGGGGAACAAAATTATTCTTCTTGTTCAATAATTTAATGAGCCGTTAGCATGAAAAAAAATCGAATTCTCCATTTTGTCCCACTCACTCTTATGTATCCTTTATAATTGTCTAATTGTTCTAATGACTCGTTAACACTAGTTAAGTTTAATTCATGATGACGTCTTAACCATTGTAAATATTTCCAGATGTTGCCAATGTGATGATTTATTTTTCATTTTTTATCTATACCTTGCTATGTCCGGAGATATTGTCAGCGTTGGAGGACAAATTTTTATGTTTTAAAAGAATAAACTAAAGGATTATCTTTCGTTTGTTTTATTTTTGCTTCCGAATGGGAGCAATTGTAATTGTTCAAATCTAAGTTTTGGATTTTTCGTGGTATATCGACGCATTATAATCCAAAAAGTCCGAAAATACAATTTTTTTACCGTGTCCGTACGTATGTGTGTATGGTATAGTACATTACGCAACTAGTGCTTTCATAGTTATTTATGCCACTCATGCCTGAAACCGGCTGGATTACACACTCGACGCTTCGCGTCTCGTGTCTAATTCAGCCGGTTTCAGGCTTCGTGACATAAAATTTTGTTCAGTACTTGTTGGGAAATTTCGTCCTTAACGTGTGTGGTTACATCACTCGCCTTCGGCTCATGCTCTAAACCCCACACACGTTAAAGACGATATTGCCCCACATGTACTGAAATATACTATTTCATCACAAGGTCCACATTCGTCAGAAAATACTTTTCGACCGTGTGATGAATGCAATTTTTCGTCAGAAGGCCCGTAAACCGCGATCAAACCGAGCAAAGCGAGGTTAGAATCGCGATTTACCGGGTCTTCTCACGAAAAAGTTTTTTTCAACTGTTCGCCAATGAATGGATGGATTTGAATCTTTTTTTTTTAATGTAGGTATTGTTGAGCCTTATCGATTGCCATTAATTAAAATTTAATTCATCGATTAGTTTTTTTTTAATTTTCTAACTTTTTCGAAAATTGATTATCCCCTGATAACTAAAATAGTACATTAGAGTACAAGGGCACAAATTTCGTTTTCAACGAATGTGTAGTTTACAGGCCGAGCCGAAGACGAGGTCTGTACACATTCGTTGAAAACGAAATTTATTACCGAGTGCTCTATAATATTTTATGTTAAGTCGTGCAGAAGTCGAGTTTTGAGCAGGCTGCGCGAAGCGCAGCGTGCGATAAACTCGACTTATTGCACGGCGCGACATAAATAATGTTCTGAAGTGAATGAATGATGGCTTTAAAAAAATGTTTGGATGTCTTTTTGACCGAGATGGAATCTGAAGGCGATAACAAGAATGGTTATCTTGATTTATTCGCAAATTTGTAAAAATTTAGTATTTTTTGAAAATCAGAATTCCGGAAATATCATAGCTTAAAATATTTGTTTTAATGCCACTAAGTTGAAGTTGAAGGATGATTCCAATAGCTATATTGGTTGATTTGATTTTTATAATGATTGCTGAAAATTTTGAATTTCTCATGAATTTCCTTGAAAATGAGCTTTCTGATGGTTTCTTCAAATGTGATGTTTCAAATTCATTCAAGTATGTATATGTAAATAAAATTTTTCTAGTAACGTTGTGACGAAGGGCTGAGGAGAGAGATAGAACTGTGAAAAAGACAATTGGTTGTATAGAAGAAAAGAATAATAAGAATAATGATGATGATATCTTTCAACTAAGTTGAAAATCTGACAAAATTAGTTGAAAAGAAATCTTATTCAGTTGAATAAAATGAAATAAACAATGAATTATACATGATAGAAGGAAATTATGTGGAAAATAACTATTCGGAAGCATATTGCTAATTTATTAGCCAAAATAATTATACTATATACAATACAAGAGCAATTTATCATTTGTTTATTATCAGGACGACGTTATGCAGTCCTTTTCGGGATGTTAAATGAATAGAAAAATTTATTTAGAGTCAGTAAATAATTTGATACGTGTTACATATTAATCAACTCCAAAATGTTGATTAATTAGACATTTTAATGGTTATACGTTCTTGAATTTGGAAAATTGTTATTCATCGAAAATATTGATTTGATTATCGGAATTCGAATAAAATGAATATAAATTATTTTATATAGTCATAATTGGGATTTTTAGTATGACAATATTTGAAGGTTTTGATTATTGAAATTTTGATAATTAATTAAGTGATATTTGTTATTAGGTTAAATTGTGAATTCTTCCATGTGTAGTTACTTTCTGTTAGTTTACTTTCTTTCACTCTAGAATAGTTAACAAAGTTCAATGCGATTGGATTAAAAGGTTTTGGAAATTGGGATTGCATGAAAACGTGAAAGATAATATTGAAGGTCCCTCATATGCAAGAAAAGAAACTATTCGCGACTCAAGGATGCGGTATCCCTACACAAATACGTCCGATGGCTGTCGATTATTCGATATCTCCCGCATAGTATCGCATAATATCTACGCTGCACGAATTACTATATGGAATGGCACGCAAAAGTGGATCGATTTTGTAAACATTTTCCACCAATACAATTTCGTGGTCTTAGGCCCAGTTGCACCAAGCCCTGTTTGGTAAATTTAACAGCTTACTAAGCGAACAGACAGTTAAAATTTACAAGTCTTGTAACTTTATTGAGGCCCGGTTGCACCAACCCCTGTTAGGCGAATTTAACAGCCTCTTAGACTAACAGACTGTTAAAATTTATGTGTTCAGTAAATTTATTGGGTTACACCAAAAATTTTACTGGTCCAGTATCTCCCCAGTAAACCACCCAGTAAATTTGAGGATATATTATTTATGTACTTGTTACAGTTTGATACAGATCACATTATACATTCAGATATTTTCAATGATTGAATTTTTCAATCAAATTACGTGTGAAAATTAAAAAAAAAATCATGGATATTCAGCTTTATTTCAATTACATTTTGTAAATAATTATTATTCTTTCAAACATTCCTTTTTTGCCAATAAATTATTAAAATTGTTTAAACTTTCGGAAACCTTATTTTTAGGCATGAAATCGATTGATGGTGAAATTCTGAATGTTAATAAATTTGTTAGGATTTCCAAAAAAATCATTGCAGAGTGTAACACTCATAATTTGAATAAATTTTTCATGAAAAATGATCGTAATCTTCAAAAATCGTATCTTTTGAATTATGTTATAGATTTTTCTTCAGAAGTAGATTTTCTGATTTTATGTCAGATTCTTATGCGATAAATTTGAAAAAATTCATGGATATCGAGCTTCATTCAAATTCCATTTTGTAAAGAATTTTTTTATTGTTAACATTTCCTTCTCATAAATAAGTAATTGAAATTGTTTAAACTTTTGGGAATCTTATTTTTTGTGCATGAAAATGATTTCTAGTAAAATTCTGAAAATTCATAAATTTGCTACGATTTCGAAAAAAGTATTTTCAGACCGGAAAATTGATTTTTTATAAATGAATAAATTATATTATATAATAATTATTATCCATAAAAAATGGTCGTAGGGGACCCAGGGTAAAGTGAAACGCCGGGCAAAATGAAACGATAGCAAAAACCGAATGTATAGCGGAAGTCAGGTGATTTTTTTTTTTTTTTTCATATCAACTAGGGGGAGAAGAGGGGTAAAATGGGTTATCAGGGTCACCCAGTTTACCAGAGTCCAAAGCTCTTATTCCATAAGGGTCGAACGGACGGGTAGAATCAAATAGTTATATGAGTCAAACGTTAAAGTCGCCTGAAAGGATCACAAGGGCCATACAGGAGGGTGGAGGAAGAAAATCTTTCCCGTTTGAACCTTCTAATTGTTTCACTGTTTGACGGGATCTATAAGCGTTTTGTTACACTGTTTCGTGTGAAAAATTTATGAAATAATTAACAAATTCATATTTTTATCATTTTCCATAAATCCTTCAGCAACGATCAATTTTCCACCCTAACAATCAATTATTCGTAATCATAACGGATTTGCCTCCAGTTCGAATTTTGCACGGAGAGAAATTCTCTCAAAAAATTCTAGTGCTGGCATTGGAAAAAGGTCTCAAAGTGACGGCCAGGGAAAAATTCCAGCACTGGAAATTTTATTTGGTAACACGTGACTTTTTCCCGTATTTATATGACATTTTCACCCTCCTCCTTCCCACCCCCCGCCACTAAATAATGAACTGGTTTCGTAATACTATTCGTTATTTTAACAGAAAGTTAACATAACAGGCGGTTTACTGGGCAGATAACAGAAGTAATAAGATGTTTGGTGCAACTGAGGCCCGGTTGCACCACCCCCTGTTAAAGCTACCAGCCAGTAAACCTCTGGTAAATCTTTGATAAATTTTATTCGGATGTTACTGGAGGTTTATCGAGAGTCTACTTAACAGAGATTTATCCCCCCGGTAAATGTCTGTTAAGGATGTTCGACACCCTTTTAGCCAAAATTGACGTTGTTTTCATTTTTCTGGCAAATTATCGATGGGAGTGACGTGAAAAAATATAACGATTTTGTGGTTTGTCATTCTTTAATGGCTCACGAAGTTGCGTAGTGGTGCGATAATTTTCATGCGTTTTTTCTACAGTTTTGTGATTCTTTTTAAAAGTTTAGAGAAAACGCAGGAAAATGTTCGCACCACCTTAAAATTTCGTCAGTCATTAAATAATGACAAAACGCAAAAACGTTATATTTTTTCACGTCAATTCCATCATAATTTTGCCAGAAGAATTAAAAAAACGTGAATTTTGGCAGAAAGGGTGTAGAACATCCTTAAGTAATCCTCAATTAGTTAGCAATGATTTTATTTTTTAAACTTTGAAAGTGAACTTTGAGTTTGATTTTTCATTTTAAACTTTTAGGAAACATTTAAAAAATCTGAAAAAAATGGAAAGTCTGCTTTTGGAACAGAATT